AGAGATGGGACTGTCAGATTGATCAGGAATTGGCTGGATGGCTGTGTCCAAAGACAGACAGTCAGTTGGTCAATGTCCAAGTGGAAACCAGTAACAAGTGGTGTCCCTCAAGAGTCCCTCCCGGGATCAATATTGTTTAATATGTTAATCAGTGACATGGACAGTGGGATCGAGCACACCCTCAGTACATTTGCAGATGATACCAAACTGAGTGGTGCAGTTGACATGCCTGAGGAATGGGACCAACCAGAGGGACCTTGGAGGACACAGGCCCACATGAACCTCATGAGGTTCAACAAAGCCAACTGCAAGGTCCTGCACCTGGGTGGGGGCAATCCCCAATATCAGCACAGACTGGGGAATGAGCAGATTGAGAAAAGCCCTGCCGAGAAGGACTGGGGGGTACTGGTGGTGACAGATGGGACGTGAGCTGGCACTGTGCGCTCACAGCACAGAAATCCAAGCATCTCCTGGGCTGCATCACCAGCAGCATGGGCAGCAGGGTGAGGAGGGGATTGTCCCCTCTGCTCTACTCTCCTGAGACCCTGTGGGGCACTGCATCCAGCCCTGGGTCCCCAGCACAAGACAGACATGGACCTGTGAGAGCGGGGCCAGAGGAGATAATGGAAATGGTTCTAGGGTGGCACAGCTCTGCTGTGGAGAGAGGCTGAGGGAGTTGGGGTTGTGCAGCCTGGAGAAGGGAAGGCTCATGTCCCTGCCCATGATGGGGACATTGGACAGGATGATCTGTGAAGGTCCCTTCCAACCCAAACCAGTCTGTGATTCTGTGGTGCAGAAACCACAGACCAAGCTTGCCTGGCCCTCCCTCTTCCCTTGTGGCAGGTGGTGAGATACAGGGCAGTGAGGGCTGTCTGTGGGCTTTGGGAGCCTCCCCAGGGCAATTCTTCTTGCTTCCTCAGCCCCAGGATGAGTCTGGCTTGGTACCTCATGCAAGGACCCTTACAGTCCCTCCCTGCCACACCTATGGTAGACCCAGGAGTAGCACGTGCCTCCTGCCTTGGGCATGTGGACCTATGTTTTTTCTTAAACAGCCCTTGCATGATGCTGGGGAAGCTGACACAGCCCCAGGCAGCCTCTCTCTGTTCCTGATGGAATCCATGGGGAGCAGCAGGTGACCCCCATCTCCCTCCTTGCCTGCCCAGGCTTAGGAGAAAACCAAACCACCCTGAGCAACTGTAGTAGTTTAACTTGGCTGGCAGTCAAACGCCACACAGCCACTTACACCCCCCCAGGGAACCAGGAAGAGAATTGGAGGGGTAAAGGTAAGGAGACTCGTAGGTTGAGATAAGAACCATTTAATAATTTGAATAAAATAAACTTAAAATAATAATAATAATAATATACATCAATGTGTGATACCCAGTACAATTGCTCACCACCCACTGAGAGTGATCCTGGAATCAGAGAATCACGGAATGGTTTGGGTGGGAAGGGA